ACTGGAGTAGTGAGATTGGCAAGCAGGGAGCTGAGGTTGAGGAGCGGGCAGGGACCGGACCCGGGCCCGAACCAGGATCTGAGATCGAGGGTCAGCCTGCTGCTTTCGTAGCTGATGTTGGCGACTTTGAAAGGGGGCAGCGAAGGGAGGGAGAGGACGGTGTCGCCACCGGAGCACGTGAGGTCAAGGCCCGGGAGGCCGCAGGAGGGCGGAGCGGATCCTAAGCGGAGAGGGAAGCGGATCTGTAAGGATCCTGACCCGGATCCGCAAGTGGACGGCGGGCATACTTTCAAGAAGTCGTCTTCCTGATTTGCAACGGATTTATTACTGAGGAGGGAGAGGAGGGAGAAGAGAACGGCGAGAAAGCTGCGCATTTTTTGTAAATATAGTTTTTTTATTTGTATCTGAAATAAATGAACGCATTATTAGCAAAGTCAACAATTGTCTAACACGTGACATTATAAGAGTCCAATTTGTAAGAGGGGGAAAAAAGGAGCTTTCCGAGCCTCTTCGCTAGGAAGGTATAAAGTCTATGGGAAGAACCAATAAACCAATAAATAGCCGGTAATATTCGGCCGATATTTAAAACATTGATGTGATATCATTTGTCATACCCTGAGCCTGCGAGACGTTGGTCCATAGTAAGTCGTGAAACCCGCTGCGTGCAATGCATTGTTTGACTCAATCCACTGCCAAGATTGTCAATGACACACTCGACTCCTTGGAGTTACATTATAAATCATTTAATCTCTCAATCAGTATCGATGTCGGACCATACTTGGGGTACCACAAAAAGGTGCCCATGTGAAATTTATGTACGGTGTCACCCACCATGATTGTTGTGTTATCAGTGCATGTCTGTTCAATAGATGGATCCTTACAGAATGTTGGATCGCCTTTTGACTGGAAATCGAACCCAATGCCCTGAATAAACCAGCAAGAAGAAAGAAGATGAGACATGTGAGCTAACAAGAGCTATAAAAACAAGAAAACCTAGATCTTTCCCATGCAGGTCTTTCATGATAAATGATTTGAGTTACCTCGCACATTCCAATTTCAAAGTCCAATTATGCAGCCCTTGATCATGGGTAAACAGCGTACAATGTTAGGTAAAGAAAGAAGAGCAAAAAGTCAAGTAGAAATTTCTTACCTGCCATTTTAGATAAGTATTTTCTTATGGTGACAACAATATAACAAAAATCTTCAGGATTAACAAAATACCACGTAGAACACCCCATGAGATTAAATAAATGGTATGCATAGAAAGCCGTACACTGGAAAAGTATTAAAAATAAAAAAATAAAAAAAAAATAAGAAAACCAGAAAATTATATCGTTATTATTTCCAAATTTTGAGACATATCAATTACAAATAGAGCAATGAAAATTGCAGAAACATGAAATTAGCAACAACGTATGAGGAGATACCATAGATCTCTTTTAGATGACTCGAGGGAAATTCATTCATCCTCATAGATGGTTGATATTTCTGTGAGAGAGGGGTGTACTGAGGACGGTTTTGTAGATGAAGTTGGAGAAGAAAATAGGAAAGGCTTCGGTGGCATGTCGATTGTATCCCCATCAGCTTCAAGCATCTCTA